TAACATACAGGTGGGTCATTTTCGATTAAGTGTGACTTTCAAAAAGCCTTTTCTAACAAGTTTCAAACGAATCGAATCTTCAAATCTTTCATGTAACTTTTGTTCTTTGGAAGCTTAAGAAGAAGAATGATAATATATTAAGTTTCAAAAAAATAGATTGTAAAAGGTTTTGTTTTCACGGAGCTAATATGTGTGCTTTTCTTCTTTTTTTCTTCGAATTTCTCTTGCTTTTGTTTTCTCCATGGTCCGCAACAAATAAGAATTGCATATTGGATTTGTCTACCGACCTTATTTGGGCGCTTTCGTATCAATATATTAAATTTTATTACATATGGGGTAATGATTTAGTTCCCTAAAATTTGAGAAGTTTCTAATTTAATCCTGTTGTGGTAGGAGGTAATGCATTTGTATACCTGCTAAATGGATTTACACGAAGTAATTTTCGGGGATTTTGGACTACTCCGTGTGCCGAGATTATTAGTGATTAGTTATAACTATAATTAATGTATGTGCATTATTAAATTCATCGCATCGAATAATAATTACATATAAAAGCAAACGATGCGCTTACTAAGATTAAGCCGAAACTTTAATTCGATGTACGCAATTTTAATGGAATGTCTACAATAAAATATCGCGGTTCAATTATCACGAACAAAGTGGTCAAAATTCACACGTTCGCGTGCTACTTTTTTGCGCTGTACCTTGTAAATTCGAGATTGGGGGTTTCGGAAATTTTACCAACCAGAATCGGTAGGATTTGAACGAAATTAATACGCGTTTTTGCTGTATAAATTTGGTTAAATTGTACGCTATCCAATTTTGCAATCGGCGGTCGATATAAATTTTCCGACAAAATGGCAGCTCGAACAGCAAGCTGTTTACAATAATGCAATTCCCAAAAACGTAGTAGTTCTGTTTTAGTTTTTAGTTTTGTTTTAATAACAAACGTGAAGTCAAAAAATAATGTTTTTTGAAGCGTTAAAGAGTAGTAATAGTAGGGCAGGTTCTAACCGTGTTTTAGCGGGAAAACTTGAATCGTCGTGAATCTTCGGGTATGTTCGGGACAAGGGCAGTTTTAAAATGATTTGTAGAGAGCTTAAAAGATTCAGTTGCACTTTAATTAATCAAAGAGCCAAACCTATCATAAGTGTGCTTGTTTAAAGGTTCATAATTATTTTAAATAAATCATTGCGGTCATAGTAAAATTGTATTTAGGTACCTTTTGCTCGGAAAATTGAATACGGCGATTATTACGAATCATGAAAGGTTAATAAAAACGTGTGCCCAATTGCTTTCACAGCTAAAATTATTGATGAAGTTCAAATTTATTAAATAAGCAAGATGATTTATCAATACCTTTATCCAATACTTCAGCTGCGACTATTTTGAGGATGTGGGTGTCAATTAAAACACATTGGATTATGCAAAAAATTAACCAGCTACGTAGCATACCCAAGAATCAAAAAGTAAAAGTTACCTAAGTAGTTATCAGGATAAAATGTATGAAAAAAATGAAATTGCTTTAAAATTTTAGAAAAAAACAGCTCCCATTATTAAAAGATATGGTCTGTTCATAGATGTAAGAAAGTGACCAATTGCTTTTGAATGGGGTTATCCAAGGGTGGTCATTAACATACAGTGCGACAGGATTATTACCTAAAGTTTAGAAAAGTAATAGAAAATAATTTTATACCTACCTGGGTTTAATATTCTTTGGTTTGGTATGGTATACTACTTAGTTTAAATTTATTAGTAATCATTCTTATTTCGTGGGTAATACAGCTTGTGTTGAATCGTGTGCGAATTATGCAAAATATGTGCGAGTCTAGCGTATTTCAGGAGATGCTTCCGGCCAAGTGTAGAAAACACTGTTCTATTGAGACTAAGGAAGTTATAAACAATGTTTATTTGACTTTCATTGAACGTGGTGTCAGCAAACAAGTATCTTTAGAAGAAACGGCCATATTGACGAAAATTCCAACATCAACTGTATGGAAAATTGTGAATAATCCCATTTCATCGAGGAAAAAAAAAGCCATGCTGACATTTTCTAGAGTGTAGATGAAAGTGATCAAGATATAATACGGCGTAAAATTTACCAGTTATACGAGAAACAAACCGTGCCTACATTAGATATCTTAATTAGGAGGCTTGAAAAAGATGAAACCGGTGTTAAATGTGGCAGAACTACCTTATGGGAGTGTATTCAACACATGGGTTTTAGATTTAAAAAAATTGACAAAAGTTTTAATGCAATCTTTTAGAATTCGGAAATGGCGACTGGACTGGATTTACAGAGAACCACAAAGGCCAATTATTATGTTTGGTATCAACTGAAATCTGCCACTCGTCGTAACAATGTTTTTCCCCGTGTTAACTCCAATATCCTCAAAACTTATAGACCGAAGTTTTTAACATCCCTCCACCAAGTTGGGCAAATTCTGTTAAACATATAGAAAAAGCAGAATAATCGTATATCCTTATTACAAATAATATAGAACAAATAATAATTAGAACAGACGGTGATAGGGATAGTGATACTGATATATTATGTCAATAATTTTAAGTAATTTAAGTAGGTAGTAAAAATAATTTGTAATTTTATTTTAGATTTAAACATAAATACATTCATAAATAAATAAATATTGTTTAGTTCTTTCCTAACAAAACCCCAAATAATTAAATTCTAAGCAAAGTACGGACCTGTTCGTCCATAATTCATTCTTACAGCTTGCCCGGGTCTTTCCTTAATTCGTATCAGTTAGTCTCTTTCTTATATCTATGAACAGACTTTACCTATTTTAAAAGGTCAAATAGTAAAATAGATGCCAATGAAATACCTATCTATACCTTCATTGTAGTATGTTTCAAAGAAGTTTTAATTTATTTTCGACTTAAATAATAGCGTAATAATAGATTAAGCAGCAAGTGCGGTAAACGGCATTTGACTCAGGAGTTTTTAATAAAACGAGTGAGTTAAAAATTTACCAATCATGTTGCATACTATACTATACTACAACCGTTAGTTTTTGGGTCCATCGGTTAGGTACTTTACAGACGGGAGTAGAAAAATTATTGTTCTTTATATCATATCCAATAACCTCTACTTTATTTTGTAAAATGTTAATTTTATGTTGTTTGTAAGTACACTGTATAGTGAAAACCACTTATAGAGATAATTAACCAAAGTAAAATAATTTCACAGCATTTTATAATTTAATTTGCTATCTGAGCCGTGTTTGCGCTTGTTTTTTAACCTCTCTCTTTATTTTGATAAATGTTTCGGCCGCTTTAGGTTGTTCGCCGCTGGTGCCTCTGGTGATTTGGACAAATGCACATTATAGCATTTGTGTTTTCCCGTTTCAAGAGATGTTAGCAAATGGTCGAATGTCCAAATGGTAGACAATCCCTAACGGCGTTCGGTTTCGGCTGGTGGGTGGTTTGTAATAACCGATCCGCCAACAGCTGAGACGTGACATGTACGTGATCGAGTGACAGAATGTTTAGGTTACAACCAGCGATTTTTATAGTGATATCAAACTTGAAACTTATTTAAAATGATTTATCTTACTAAGTTAACATTGTATTACTTTTTTTGAATTGGAATTCAGTTAATTGTTGGTAGTAAATTCATAGGGTAGTGTAGAACAGGAACAGAACCCCTTAACAAATAGTTTTTCACGATGACTTTATGTATTATTCACTCAAAGGGAGTAACGGAACGAGGTTAAGTTGATTTAATATTTTATAGTAGCTTACAAAAATGCCATTTTGCATGATTAGTGCAAAAAAATGAGAAATGTCTCACCTTATTTGTAAAGTGGGATAGGGGTAGGGGCTGATAAATGTGTATTACCCCAAGAAATGTTAAAGGAGGGATACACCCCAAAAACTTGAAATTTTGCCATTAATCTATGCTATACAGATTGCTACTTACAAATCTTTTGGATTCTTCTTGCGTCGGATGTTTATAAATAAAACTTGCTGAAGTTTAACCAATCATGAGTTTCAGCTAAGCTCTAAAGAAGCCAACATGATGATTGGCCAAACGTCAGCCAGGTTTATTTATAAACAAGCGATACAGGACGAAACCAGAATATTTGTATATTGTATTACAGTAGCCCGTCTATACAGAGTGGTCCATGGGATAAGTAAGTAAGTTTTAGACTCCACATGGAGAAAAAGTCAAAAATACTTAAGTAATTTGCTTGTTTAAACAATGAAGTTGTCATTCATAAAATTTCGATAAATTTGATTTGATTTGATTTGAATAGAGGGTGATAAGGACGATAAAATATTCAGAAAGATACTCACTGGTTAATAAAAAATATTCTTTCGAATGTGGGTTGCAGTACCCTTCGATAAAATTAACCTATGTTTTTTTGGAAACAATAACTGATCGTATGCATAGTCCTAGTATCGGACTGTCAAATTACAAAGTCTTTCTTTTTCGATATAAAAATCACGCACGTCATTTAAGCGAAACAGCCATTTGACATTCGACTGTCTGCTACATCCAGATCCCTCGCGAAACGAGACTCACCGAGACTTTCCGAAACGGGACCGAACACCGTTCGTTATTTTTTGTTATTTTAATAAATAAATTAATTAATGATTTTAATAAATTTTATTATAATAATCATATCGTATTATTTCATGTCTGATATTTGCCGATTAAAGTTTGCAGAAAAAAGTCTATATGTTCTGACTGGGGTTCAATCCGGAATAACTCCAACTAGAACGCTCTAAAATACATAAAATGTCATTTGATTTTGTCATTATATTCTTTTTTTTATTTGTCCTATTAATTTAACAAAGGACATAGAAGAGCAAACGGCGAAGCAAAAATACAATTTGGGTATCTCACTTTTTACCTGGAACAAGTAAACGCGTTCGTTCGTTCCCGTCCATGCCCGCCAAGTCAAGTTTTGCGTAAAATAAATGGATTATTTACCCAATACGTAAACTAAAAAACGATAGCAATAAATAAAACTCACCCTTGAGACGGTTCGTAAAGAGCCAGAAGAGTATGATGCGGCAATTCATGATCCTGAAAAAGAAAAAGAAAAGATTAGGGCAAAAAGGCGGAAGGGAATATATTTATAACCTACATTTCATTAAAACCTGAAGGAGATAAATTACTTAAAGCTTCGCGATATAATTTCCTAAAAAAAAGTAACGAACCCCCCCGGGTATACGGAAACGTATTTAATGTTGCAAAAATGTCCGTTTTTTTTTAAGTCACCCTAAAAAATCGATCGCTATTTATTATTCTTTTTTTTTATTTCAGATATACGAAATTAAATTAAACTCAATTAACTTTAATTAAATTAAATTTTTTTGTTAATATTGGATATACTTATTTTCTAATTGTACCTCTAACATTCGGAGACGATGTTATAATCACCAATTTTATTTGAATTTAAATTTTAGGCATGTAGAGAATGTTTTAAGAAAATTAGTTTTATACATAAAGTTTGTCAATTCCTGCCAGCACTACGCATATTGTTTTTGTATTCACGACTTTATCTTTGTTATTAAATGAGATCCGGAATTTCATTTGAAACGAATTTTGGGGCGCTATTAATATGTCATTGTAGACTTTCATGGTTTGGAGACTTTCGCCTGCAGTCCTAACCTTCTTGATACCATATTATCGATCACGTGCAACTTAAAACATCTGCTTCAAAGTTTCGGTCATAGATGTGTTGACAAAAAATTCCCATAAAATTTGAAAAATACGGTGTACGACCAAAAAATGTAATACTAAATTTAATAATTATTCACCAAAACTCAAAAATAATTGGTTTATTTTAAATGTTCTTAATCTTTCTTTATTATTTGTCGATTAACTTTAAATTTATTAAACTAACAAATCTAAATTTATTAAAAAATATTTGTAGACATTTATAAACATGTAACACATTTATAAAATATGAAATTTTACTAAATTGGGGGTACGCAACTCATAGCAACAATAATAAGTTGGGAATAACATTTAAAATAAAAATTAATAGGTGTAACGTAAGAATAGTAAATCTGACAACATTGCTGAATTCTGTATATCCAAAAGCCTCCAGGTATTGAATTTGATCGACTCAACTTTTTACAAGCGGGGCATGGGTAGGAAGGCACTATAACTATTACTTTGACCTGCGAACATTTTTTGCTTCTCTTTTGTGAAATGTTTATACCTACATATGTAAAATTCATTTTCTTTATAAAATTAAAATCCTAGGGAACTAATTTGCTGTTTTTGATGTTCGGCAATAAAGATTTTCTGAAATAAATCAGTATGATGAACAATAATCCGTAAATGGTTACTTCATATCCCGTGATATACGGGGGTTTCATTAACCGAAGGAAATGAGTTATCATAAAAGTATGCCATATATATGGGGTTTCAAAATAAAAAGTTGTTGCCTGGACTACTTAGGTACACGCAAAAAGTGAAGCCATATAACCTCAGGTTCGGAATTAAGATTTTAACACTCTTGTCTTAAGCATTTTAAAAGCCTGGTAAAAAGTTGTAATGAAAAAATGTTTACCAATTCCAAAATATCTTTCATGGAAAATTTCTCTTCAACTATTACGTTTACTCCATTTTCGTAAATAAAATAGGCCAGTTATATGCAAGACACATTGAAAATGGAATACCAGGTACACATTAATAAGTCACGTGTAAATTTGGTCTTTTACACAATCGGCAAAGTTGACGAGGGTTCAAGGTGCCGTTGCGTAGACATTAGCTTTTCAAACATCTTTTCCAGTTGGTTAGTTTCGGATGTAAACAAACCCGAAGTACACCTGAACACCTTCTTCTGGGGTTTTAGCCAATTGTTTGCTCAGTAATTTATTTGGCAGGCTCCACTTCAGTATTCCGTGTTTACCGAGATTCTGGGAATATACATGTTTCAAATTTACGATTTTAAGGACCTCCAAAACTGTACTAATTCGCTGAGGGGTATTTAATATTTTACGAAGTACGTAAGCCAGACCAAGGAATTGTAATTTCGTTGTTTCATTGAGAATTACAAAGACAAGTTGCCAACGCATAAAGCTGAACTGAGTTCACTTGGAAATAAACAACTCGCGAATGTTTTTTTTTTTTAATTTTTGTTTTTGTTCCCGACCATTCTGCGAGATAGTAATATATTTTAAAAAATTGATAGATAAAAATTATAAATTTAAAATTTTTGATTACAGTTAAACTTGTAAGCTTTTTTAAACTGTAGGTACCTAAACAAACGTCGATTTTAGTCATTTCCGTGTTTTGTTTAATGCCATGAGTTATCAATACATATTATCACGTTAACGTATTTTTTGTTATTGTGATTAGTTGATTTAAACACTTAAACCTGAACGTAATGTGTTTCCAAAAGGCAACTAATTTTAAAGGAATTCTGAAGAACTCTAGGGAATTATGAAAAATTCCAGTGTAATACCGAGGGATTTAAAGGAATTGTGAATAATTTCGAGGGATTTCAAGAATTTGTGAAGAATTCCGACTGATTGCAAAGAATTATGAAGAATTCCTTCGGAATTCCAAAGGATTCCAAAAAATTTCGAAGAATTCCAGTGGAATTTCGAGGGATTCTAAGGAGAAGAAGCCAAGACAGACTGGAGTTTTGCTTAATTCTAGAAATCCTGAGAAATGTGTTAAAAATATCTCATAAAATGAGTTAAACTTAAGCTATTTAAAACTTAATTTTTCATAGAAACTTCTTATATATAGGCATCCTAAAAACCTACCTGCATAATGTCGCTCGTACAATAAAACATATAAAATCATAACTAGAAATAGTTTTTTTTTTTAATTTTTGACTCTAATAATATATAACAATAGAAATAACACAAAAAACTAGGAAAGATAAAAAAGTTAAGAGAAAATTATTAAAAAAAAAAACTGGAATCCTCGTACAGTAAAAAACTTCTCATTCCCCAAGAAAATATGACATTTTATTTTTTAATTGATTATGTGATGGGGGGTTTTCAAGTACTAGGAAACTTGTTCCATATTGTTTTAACAGAAAATTCGATATTCCTTTGAATATATGTGTTCTATTCTTAGAGTTATATTCCATGTTTACTCAAACTGTCTTGGAACAGGTCTCCACTTTTTTTTTCCGAACATAATGCACTCCAGCACATACAAGCACGTGTCAGTACAGGCCTGTGTTCAGTAAAAACAGGCTTCTGAAATATCAACTCAATCTGTGTCTATGTTAAGGTTAGCTCCAAACTATGCTTTGAGTTTTTTTTAGTACTTCATACAACTGATATATCGTCTAATTAACGTAGGCTATAAACAACAGGGGTCTCAGGACAGAGTCCTAGGGAACATATGCTAAATTATATTTTATTAGTATTCCATTTTCACAATCTCTCGCATACTGTTGTTTGTCTTTCAGATGTTACTCCCCTAGCGGGAGAACCACATCCCTGATACCATTACGTATTAGTTTTAAAAAATCAAGTATTTGTTCGTTTTTCTTTATGGGTTTGGCAAGCGCTATTTCAGAGCTATTAGCTATATCCTAATAGTTTTTGGTTGGTTTTCCTTTTCAAGATGGGGAAAATTATGTGCCAACTAGCTGACTACGCCCCTGACTAACTTAAATAAATAACTTTTGCAATGACCTACGTTTTGTGCAACTTTCAGTGTAACTGTTTGCGGTATTTTCTTATTTCGCTCTTAAGCAATATAAACTTGACAAATTGACGAGAAAAATAAAACGGACCTAAAAAAAATTAAATTATAAATGAATGAATGAAATTTGTTTACATTAAATTAATAGCGTACAGAGTGTGACGCCGACATAAAAAAACTTGGGCATTTTCAATTTCGAACTTATTCTCATATTTTTATCTGTTTCTAACAAACCGTCTTGTAATACTTTGCATCCGACTTGTATTGTTAAAAGTTTCAAAGTTCACAGAAGTTTCGAGATAGGACTAAACCTTCCTGCACTGAATCATCAGAAAATTGTAAGTTTCGGCCGCGTCGATCCACTTTTTTTTTATTCAAATTTACTTTTTTAGGATGCCACGTGCGACATATGGTGACATATGGAAAAGGCGTTTTTGTCCTACGTGCACATGAACGGTCTACGAAATTTTATATTTTATTTCCAAATACGTGTTTTATTAGATATATACATATTGCTTTTTCCAGTTAACCACCGTTTTCTACCTTTTGCACCTGAATACTAAAAGGCGGCAACAACAATTCGTTTGAAAATCGCGTCAAAACTTCAATTTTCGAATTCAGTTCCCAATACATTTTGTTTTTATTTTTGATAATTTGTTGATTTTTGTTAGCAGATGTTCAGACAGCTCGAATGATACGAAATAACATGACTTAAAGTTAATAAGTTGGCTTTTCAAAGGTATAATGTACAGAGTATTCTCTAATTGTATGTCAATTATTAAAGGTGCGATTGTTAGGTAACTTTTAAAAAGAAAAGTTCATACGAATATATAATAATAATAATAAACTGTCTTTATTGATAATCAAAATATTACAATATAAGTAACAATGCAAGAGTGGCGGCATTCGCAAATTGCGCTCTTCCACTTGTGTAACCACAAGAACAACAGCACCAACACCATAATAGTCAACAACATATACACCCGTATATATATCGTAAACAGAAGAAATAGACGCACATCATACGGCGGGTCTAATTAACAATATTAATGCTTTTTTAAAAGACTTCATTGTGGGGAGGGATAATTTAACTGCGTTATAGGTAAAAGATCTCTGGAAAGTTACCGAAGTGTGTCTAGGAACGCAATATCTTAAACAATGACTCGATTATGAATATCATTTCCTCTGCAAAGTTTACCAAACGATTAGATCTTGTTGGAGTTCAGTAAAAAACCAAAAGTGGCTAACTGAACTTTATATCGGTCTTCCAGCTTGAGCCAACCCGAATCAGAGAGGCATTGTGAAATATGATTATACTTTCTGAGATTGCAACTAAAACGAATACAACCATTCTGAAGTCGTTGGAGTCTCTCCTTATCTAGATTAAGTATAGCTGGCCA